AGATAAATAAATTTGATCTTGCAATCAGAAATGGGGGGCTGTTATGCACAGGAGCATTAAAGGGCCCACAGACGGAGGTGCCTGCTGGAAAAGTGCTGTCTGCAGTCCCAACCCCTAGGAACACCTCCTTTGACACCAGTTCATGCCAGTTACTGGGAGCTGGAGATCCGTGGGTTCACTGATCCCACACCGTGATCGTTCTGGGATCAGTGGAATGTTTGCTCCATGGAACGGAAATTGGCACTGAAGAACTGTTTTTTGTTTTCTCTGTCTCCTGCTCCCCCTAGCAAGAAAAAAGGGGGGGGGAGAGATCTGTTCCTCTACTTCTTTCTCCCCCCTTCTCTTCTGACAGGTGGCTGGAGAAATGGGAGGGAGAGGAGGCACCAGTTTTCTTGGGTCCACTTCCATCCCATTTCTCTTCCCCTTTGGAAGAGAACCACTTCTGGGGTTGGGGTGGAAAGGAGGCTAATTGTTTTAGTGTTGGGAGAACTGGCACCAAAAAACCCTGCTTACCATCTTTCTGCCCTCTGCCATCTGTTCTCTGTCCCCACTTCTCTTGCCAACAGAATTGACAGTGTAAGACCCCCACCTTTTTATCCAGTAGAGCTTCTTCCCTACCTACCCATCCATGTATTAGGCACTGCAATGCTAGTCTGCAGGTGGGAGTGCGTTTCTGAGAGATGACCAGCAGATTTATGATAAACATGCAGCACTAACCTAGGCTGGTGGATCTGCTCTGCCAGAGCTGGGTGGACAGCTCTATCCTTCTCTTCCCCTGACAGCTCTCTAATCCTACAGAATACCTCCATGGGATGGGACAACTGGGTTATTCTCCCCACTCCAACATATTCTGTTGCCACCCCTCAAGCTTGGGCATCTGCTACCAGGTCTGGCAATGTTGCCAAGAGAAATGGGGGAGATGGATCCAGGGGTGTCCACAGGGAGGGGTTTGAAACAGTTAAGATGACAGCCTCATCTTGGTCTTCAAAGCTTCTCCTTTTTTTACAGGTGCTGTGATGCACCTAAAAAGGAACAAGGCTTTGAGTGCATGGTTGGGGCTATAATCTTGACTTTTTTTTACCTCCTTGATTCTTTGGCACGGTGGCCAGCATAGATTTTCCCACTCCCAAAGGCAAATGAACCTGAAAATTAATGGTTAGGGAATGATGGATAGCCTTGTATTTTCATTTTGTAACCTTGACCAGAGCCTTCTGATAAGTATATTATGAGATCCCAGAAAACTCAGAAGCACCTTTGCTCACATACTGATTGGATGCATATATTGTACAAAATCATAATGGGTTGCAATATTTTGGAGGGGTTCAGATGAGGCAGCTTTCTTCATGCCCTACCCTTCTGATCCTTTTTGTTTTTTCTTAGCAAAGCAAATCTTTTTTAGGAGGCAAAGATAGAATAGCTGCATAAATATGTATTTATCAGAAGTGCCTAGGAAGCCAATCTAGCATAGGTAGCATGAGAAATACCTAGATTGTTGGGAACTACGTATGTGGAGTTTTGAGGACCAGAGAATTTCCAAATAGTTTTATTATACACATCTGTGTGTGTGTGTGTGTGTGTCTTTGAGTTAGTCTTGACTCCTGGCAACTGCCTGGACAAGTCCATGCAATTTACATTTTTGGAATTGGTTTGCTATTGCCTCCTTCCTAGGGTTGAGAAAGAGTGATTGGCCCAAAGTCACCCAGCTGGCTTTCATGCCTAAGGCAGGACTAGAACTGATAGTCTTTTGGTTTCCAGCTTGGTGCCTTTAATCACTACACCAAACTGACTCTCTATTATACCAGTGCCTTGTCTCATTCACCCAATTTTATGAAGGATCTGAAGAACGGTGGATTCCATTTGGAACCTTTCCAATATGTTCCACTTTTCCCATTCTTTTTCTTTTCAAACGAAATCTGTTTAGAAGGAAAAGCTGCAGTAGTTACACAGTGCCTTGTGGCTGGTTCCCATTCAAGACCTCCATTGGAAGTTTCCTACAGCATGCAGTATGCAAGAATGTATCTGCCATTCTAGCCTCAAGTAAGATGCTGAAAAGCAGCTTATTCACAATTTATCACTTTTGAGTTAGATTTCCCTCTCTTTGTCTTACTACAAACCCTGACTACAGAAAATTTAGAGACAAGTTTTGGAATTTATGGACAAGGCTGACTTTTGCAGAAAGGGGGCGATCTAAGACTGTTTGGATCATTCCCAAATTAAAAGAAAGAAGAGAGAAATTCAGACCACAGACATGTGGAAAGAACGTACTTTAAAAAAAAGGAAATGTCCATTCTTTATTTCTGATTTGTCTTGATTTCACCATTATTTCAATACCCATAAAAACAAAAAGTATGTAATGGGTATGAATGAGTGAATGACAGTAATTATTTAATGCACATTCATATTTCTTCCTCATAATTTGCCTAGAGAGCATTTTTTCCCTACGTCTGAATTTCGATCCATGCCAGTTTTGTTATCTAACGGGTAGGAATTGTGGATGACAATGTATATGCGTTACTTTTCTTTAGCTTCAGTAACTAACTTCATAGTTCCACCCATGAGCTGCATGTCGCTGTAACAGAGCCATTCCCTCTTGTCTCCTCCTCCTCTTCCTCCTCCTCCTTCTGGCATTTCAGTCTGGAGGCTGTGGAACGTCTCAAGAATATTTCTTGCTTAATTTTCTACTTTGAAAACAGCTTCTTTTTCAAGGGTGCTTGAAACAATGCTTCGGGTAATTGTGGAATCTGCTGCAAATATCCCTAAACATAAGTTTGGGAAACCAGATCCTATTGTGTCAATTATTTTTAAAGGTAAGAAAAACTAATTTTAGAGGGTTTCTTTTCTTTCTGACAAGGTGGCATGATTAGAACAAGGTTGCATTTGCAAATCGGTCCTAAACTGTATAACTTCTTTTTTTAATGATGAAAAACAATACTGGGGTGTTTAGGTGCCTCTACAGGCCTATTTCATTTGCACCTGCATATAGGAAACTCACCTTTAGTTTGGGTGAATGGGCAAGTGAATTGTATCTTGGCATATAAATTATTTTTCTGCTACAGAAGATGTCTGGTTGTTAATCTGCTAACACTGATGCATTGATTGCAGGCAGGAAGAGTATAATTTAAAATATTTTAAATTATTAAATATATTTTTTCTGTGATCTTTCTTGTTTGAACTATCAGTAAATTAACCAAAAAGTTAAGGAATAGATTAAAAGCAATAGGATGTTTATTATATTTGCAAGTTTTGTAGTGGACTTTAGTTTCTATTGGTCCCTTAGTTCACAGTTCAGTTGGATGTACAGGTAGCCTCACTTAACAACCATTCATTTAGTGACCATTTGAAGTTACAATAGTGCTGAACAAAGGGACTTACAATCAGTCCTCACACTTACAACTGTTGCAGCACCCCTGTGGACACATGATCATGATCCAGGCGCTTGGCAACCAGCTCATGCTTATGACAGTTGCAGCATCCTGGGATCACATGGTCAACATTTGCAACCTTCCCAGCTGGCTTCCAGCAAGTAAAATCAATGGGGAACCACGTGATTCGCTTAACAGCCACGTGATTCACTTAATGGCTGCAGTAATTCACTTAATGACCACTGCAAAAAAGGTTGTAAAATTGGGCACGACTCACTTAACAATTGCCCTGCTTAACAATGAATTTTCTGGTCCCTATTGTGGTCATCAAGCAAGGACTACCTGTATGTTGGATGTTAAAGAAGTCAAATAACATTTTGCTTGCTAGCTCTGTGTGTGTGTGTGTGTGTGTGTGTGTGTGTGTATCAGTTTGGGTTACAGACTCAAGTTGAGGCAGTTACATTACTTGGATGTATTGAATGGGAGCATACATTTTATTGAAAAAAAGTAGGACTACCAAGACTGGGCTACAAGAGTTTTCTACATTTCTTTGCTGCCATTTAGCTGTTGTCTGGATTTCTGCCGCCCAGATCTAGTCGAGCCTGTTGAGAAAGTTGGTCTGTGGCTTGAGCCTTAAAAAATGAATATGGGAAGTTTAAATGGCGTGGAGGGAAGAAAAGTATTTCCTTTGTCCTTCATTTTGTTCTTTTTTTAAAGATTCTGCCTACTTGTCGTATTTTTAATCCATCTATTCAACCCTAGTATAAAGTGTTTATCAAATGAGGTCTGGTGAAAGAGGAATGATTGGCTTTATTATCCCTTATTTTATGTGGTAATTAAAAATGTTAAGTTTTAATTACCACATACACTTCTTTTATTTCAAAATAAGCCACCCAGAGTTGTTGGAATGG